CGACCCACGGCAGCCCAGCTTCAGGTCGAGCTGTTGTTCAGCATCTTAGCTGTAGAGGGCAGTGTCACTGGCCCTCATATGTGGGATCCAAACCCCGGGGCCCTCTGGCATCCCAAGCCAGTTCTTAACCAACGTACCATTCGGCCAGCCCAAGGATTTTCTTCCTACTCTCCAAACATCCTTTCTTTCTTAACCTGATTAACTTACTGCTTCTTTCACTGATCATGAAAAATCAGTCTACTTCCTTCTTATAAAATCCTTCTCTATAGCCCTGAGGCCTGTAATCAGCTTACCTCCTCATGGTGTTCTCTCCAGGACTAATAGCCCATATCCTTCTAAGCCCACATCCCTGGACCTACTTCCTGGACACACAAGAAAACTGGAAGCTCTAGAGGCCATGGCTGAGGAAGCTGGAGTAGAACAAGATGATCAGAGTAAAGATTCTCCACTCACCCTAACTTCATGTGCGTGAATGATGCTCATGACAAGGAGAGGGTAGAGCTGGGATTTTCTGAGAAGGAGGGTACACTGGAGTATGACAGCTGCTGCCGACCATGTCTATAAAAGTTAGAAGGTGAGCTGAGCCCTGGACATCTTTGTGCTGCAGTGACACTAGTTCTCCTCCAGAAGGGCAGAAACTGTGGCTTATCTAAAAATCAGGACCTGCAAATTCCATAAATGTTGAATAAATGTGTGTGTGTGTGTGTGTGTGCGTGTGCGCGCGCACGTGCACACAATTAGAGTTTGCTGGAGGGCTCAGGCCAAGGCTGATATTGCAGAATATGTGAACGTCTGAGCCACTCCTGGCAGTCAACAGAATTCTTGTATGCTTCCTCCAGCCAAGGCTCCTCTGGCCAAGACTCAGAGTCCATCTCACCCTATTTACTCTCCACTGCTGTCAGACTGAGACTTTAAATGCCCAAATTGTCTCATGTCTCATGTACACATAGAATTTGGGAGGGATGGGAACATTTTATATCAATCTACTGGTGGTTACACAGGTCTAGACATATATAAAAACCGATCAAGCTGTGTACTTGAGGTTACTGTACTTCCTGCCCTCTTCTGTGTGGATATAAGAAAACATGGTCCCATCCCCATGACCGTATTTGAGTGTGTGTGGTGCAAAGAGTAGTGTTGGACTAGAGTGCACTGCTGTTAGTTGGTCCTGTCTCCAAGATTGATTGCCCCACATATTCTGAGACCAGAGACCTTTAGCAAGGATACAGTAGTAGCAACAAGTAAGGGCTGATAAGTTTGTATCTAAGGTCTTTCTTTCAATTAATGTAGCTTGGGAATCAATATCTTAAATTTATATGTATAGTTAATATAATTCTGAAAAGTGGAGGGTTATCCGACTTTGGTCTCTAAATCACATTTTAAATGCACTGAACTGTAACTCTGTGATGTCATGGGGTCATGCTTGTAGATGGGTCTCCAGAGCCTAACATAGTGTGCCTTGTACACAGAAAGTAGGTACTCAAAAATTATTTGTGGTGGGACATTATTACCAACTCTACAGAAATAAAAAATATTTTGAGCATACTATGAATAATTGCATGCTAACATATTGGATAACCTAGATGAATGAAAAAAATTCCTGGAAACATAAAACCAACAAAGACTGAATCATGAAGAAATAGAAAATATGAATAGAACTCTAATATGGAGACTGAATCAATAGTCAAAAACCTCTGAACAATTACTGGGGAATTCTATCAAATACTTAAAGTACTAACACCAAATTTCTCAAACTTTTCCAAAAAGTTGAAGAAAATGGAACACTTCCTAACTCATTCTATGAGGCCAGCATTACCCTGATAACAAAGCCAAAAACACTACAAAAAAAAAAAGACAAACAAAAAAACCCCTAAATACCAATATCCTTTATGAATATTGAGGCAAAAATCCTCAACAATGTATTAGCAAGCTAGATTTAACAGCATATTAAAAAGATTATATGACCATGGCCAAGTGGCATTTATTCCTGGAATGTAAGAATGGTTCAACATACAAAAATCAATGTAATATACCACATTAACAGTATAAAGGAGGAACAAAATACATGATCATCTCAGTTAATGCAGGAAAGACATTTGACAAAATTTAACAACCTTTCATGACAAAAAAAAAATCAACAAACTAGGAATAGAAGGAAACTTCCCCAAATAATAAAGTCCATATATATTACAGAAGCCTCATAACTAATATTATACTCAATGGTGAGAAAATATTTGCAGAGCACATATCTGATAACATTAAAATCTAAAGTATATAAAGAATACTTACAACTCAATAATAACAACAACAAAAAACAATTCAAAAATGGGCAAAGGGCTTGAAGAGACACTTCTCCAAAGAAGATATACAAATGGCCAACAAGCATATAAAACGATGTTCAACATCACTAATCATTAAGGAGCAAATCAAAACCACAATGAGATACCACCTCACACCCATTAAGAAGGCTAGCATTAAAAAATAAATAAACAATTGTTGGTAAGGATGTGGAGGAATTTGAACCCTTGTGCCTGCTAGGGAGAATGTAAAATGGTGCAGTCACTGTGGAAAACAGTATGGCAGGTCCTCAAAAAATTAGACATAGAATTCCATACCATCCAGCAATTCCAATTCTGGTTATATACACAAAAGAAGTGAAAGCAGGGACTTGAACAGTTATTTGTTTGTTTTATTTTTTTTTATTTTTTTAATTGGGGAATCGGGGGAAGGGGAACAAACAAGTTGCTGTCGTCTTGTTCCTCAGTCCAGTTGTGGAGGACGCCGCTCCACTGGCCCAAGTTGGCACCATCATTGCGCTCCTCCCGGGCGAGGCAGACCAGCCGCTGGCTTCTGGACGGCCGCTCACTGCGGCTGCTGGCCGCTCACGCTGGCTGCTGGCTACACAGGGTAGCCCATGGCAACCCACCTGCCACAGGGGCTGCAGCCCATGCCGTCGCCGGCGACTCACGGCAGCCCAGCTCCAGGCTGAGCTGCCGTTCAGCACCTCAGCTGTAGAGGGCAGCGTCACTGGCCCCCACACGTGGGATCCGAACCGGGGCCCTCCGGTGTCCCAAGCCAGCTCTCAACCATCACGCCACTCGGCCGGCCACGAACAGTTATTTGTACATTTATGTTCATAGCAGCATTATTCACAATAGCCAAAAGGTGGAAACAATCCACGTGCCCATCAATTGGTGAATGAATAAACAAAATGTGGTATATACATACAAAGGTATGCTATTCAGCCTTAAAAAATAAAATTCTGATACATGTTACACATAGGTGAACCTTGAAGGCATTATGCTAGGTGAAGTAAGGCACACACAAAAGGACACATATTGTAATATTCCACTTATATCAGGTACCTGGAACAGTCAAATTCATAGACGTGGAAAATGGAACAGTGATTACCAGATTTTGGGGTAAGGAGGAAATGGTGAGTTATTGTTTAATGGATACAGAGTTTCAGTTTAGGATAATGAAAAAGTTCTGGAGATGGATAGCGGTGATGGTTGCACAACATGCCACTAAACTGTATACTTAAAAAAATGGTTAAAATAGTAAATTCTGTGGTGTGTTTTATCACAATTTTAAAAAATTATTTGTGGAACAGAGGAAAGATCTAAAGGCCATCTATAAAGTAGCCTGGTACATGGCAGGTACTGGAAAAATAAACCAGCTCATAAGAAATCTTGTTTCAGTTTCTGACTATTTGCTCGTATGTGAATGTCCCACCCTCTACTTCGGCCCTTTACCTGTCCCCACCTCAGAATCTCCCAAGACTTGGTTTTGGACTGCTCGTCCATGATGCCACCACCATTCACTGGGCTTCCTTCCTTCCTTGCCTTCTCTAAGTTGTCACTTTAGCTCAGTGACACACCATACCAACTACCTGCAACCCAAACCCTTGCCCTGTCCAGCTCCAGCTCCAGGCAGTGAAATGGCAGTCTTCACTTTTTATTCTTGGTCATTTCTCACCTCCTACCCCATTTATTCCTTGACCTCAGGCTCCCAGAGCGCTGAAAATTTCATTCCCTCCTACTATCAAAACCTGCTTTCTAATCAATCCTTCACCCCAAGAATGCCTGATAGAAATTTAAAGTGTTGCCACTCTCAAGGATATTTGTATTTTAACAGGAGCTTAAAGAGAAAGCAAAAGTCAGAGTAGAATTTCAGGCATCAGCCAGCAGATAGGAAGTCCTCTTTCAAGCCAGAGGAGCTTTTCTGGTGCTCCTGGGCATCTGCCACTTGGAAGTCAGACATGAATTCCTCCTCGGGTGAGCAGTTCTGTCCTGCCTTCCTTGCTCCAGCCTTCAGGCTCCTTTGGGGTTAGGGCCAGAGGGTGTGCACTCCTGGT